TATACTGTGAAGTAAATTGACGGTATATTTGTGTGAAACGCAGCAGCCGACTGCGCCCAGCAGTTTCCCACAAACATTCGTGGATTAAGTGACCCGATTTCTTTTTGAGGGATTATTAGGCCAGGAAATCTGCCAATCGACTAACAGCCAGGTTCCTATTTACTTCTAGGTAAACAGAGACATGTGGAGTAAAGAAACTTGCCCAATGTTTTGCCCTGCCTGGTAATCAAACCCAGATCCTCTTGCTTGTGAGGCGAATGCTCTAACCATTACGCTACATGACTCCACAACATGTAATTCTGATGTGCAATTCTGATCACTTTTATAAATTGTAGGGCATTGTCTTCAGAAAAATGTTGACCAAACCAATATTTCCCAACAACATGCATTTGTATTCCACCATTCATGTACGATAATGTTTTTGAGTCCTGTGGTCTCGAGTTGAAATGAATTGTTGCTGCTGTCATGTGGAAAATTATGCAGGTTTTATCTGAGTCTTTTTATTCTAAGATAAAATTGCGTGCGCAATTGGCTGATAAGGAAGAAAATTTAGTTGGATGTATGCTTGAGGGCATTTGTTCAACTACAGTGTAAAATTAAGTTTGCAGTTATTTAATATCTTAAAAAAACATTTTCACTGAATTAGTCACAATTACTGCAGTTGACTGATACAGGACACTATCTCACATGCCCCTATGTAACATGTGGAACCCTGCAATTTTTTAAAAACAATTCCATTTCAAAAATGACTTCTTGAGAGGGCAGTGTGACAGATATTGTCCAATAAGGATAATTCAGCTTTCTGTAGAAAGGCTTAGTGTGTTGTAACTGATTTTAAGGGAAATTGGGGCTGGATTCAGGCAGTGATTATAATTTCATGCCCTTATTGCATTCCTAAGGAACCCTCACAACTATGTTTTTGTACAACTTAACATGGGTGAGCTGAAGCCTATTGCAACATATCCACTCTTCTTCTACCCTACCCCCCCGCCCGAGATGACTCATCACATATTGGGAATTGAACTTGGGACTTTTCATCAGTATGGTTGAGCTTGGCTCCTTTCCAATTACGCCATTAATATTCCTTTACTTAGTCACACCTTCCATTCTGTTTCTAAGCATGACATGCACTGTACTTGCATGACTTAATTTTCTCTCCCCTTTGTTTTTTTCCAATGAGAATAAAGTAAGTCCTGTATTTCAGTGGTTAGAGCACTCACTTTGCAAGTGAGAGACCTGAGTTCAATTCCAAGCAGGGCGAAACCTTGGGCAAGTTTCCTTACTCCACACGCCTAATAATAATCCCTCCAAAAACAATAATTAAATGGTCATTTTCAATCTACGACTGTTTGTGGGACATTGCTGTGCGCAATTGTCTGCCGCGTTTCTCCCACAAATATACAGTCAATTCACTTTACAGTGTGTTCTGTGAAGCGCTTTGGGACGTCCTCCTGAAGTGAAAAGCGCTACACTGCATATTTCCATGTGGGCTTATATTGAGCCTTCAAGTAAAAGGGGGAAGAGAATTTCGTTCATAATTCTGTATTTTCATTGCAACTCAGCAATTGGATAGACAGCAGAAATTTATCTCATATATGCATGTCCTAGTGCCAACATTCAGTCACCACTGAAATGGCATTTGAATATGGGGGGTGCTGAACAATATTCTGTTTTAAAATGTAAGAAAGGAATCCTTACTGTACATTTGTGATCAGAGACAAGACTGGAAGCATTTGGTGAGTACTTCCATGTTCTTCATAAAGCAGAACAATTAGCAATCCTTATTTCTAATTGGTAAAATACTAATTCGTATGTAGAATTTCTATTTTGCAGTTTGCAGTGCATCAAATATTTTAATATTTTTAGGCTTCAAATTTTCTCAAATAAACATTGAACATTTTAATTGGTTTCCTTCTAGAATGTGAAGAGTGTCACCCTTTGCGGACCTATTTACAGTTGCCTGAAGTATTGAGTAACGCCCTTTGCAAAGTGGTGGTGCGGATACATGTCACATGAATGTGTTTATTTGAGGGATTTTGTTAGACAATTGCTTACACTTTGATGTGTTAAACATGTGATTCAAACAGGTCCAGGTGTCAAGATTAGTACGAGTACTTTCAAAGTGTTAATTTTTTAATGTGTTTTTTAACCCCCTATCAGAGGAACTTTAATTTTAGAAATAGTAATGAGATGGATAAATCACCATTCCATACTAAGCTATTTCCCTGCCAAGTTAGAAATTGTTTATCTGCGGTGTTACACTGGTTTAATACACTAATGCTTATTATGGTTGGTATAGGAGAGTAAGCGCTGATTGGAGTGGAATCTGGTCTATTAGAACTTACAATTCACTGAAATATTCATTGCTGCTATTAGAGTTTGGCTAGAAGACAAAACATGAAATACAACATAACGTTTGTGTATGTTTCAGCTTTAAGCAATATTTAATGTTGATGATTCAGACTGCACCAAATTGTGCATCAGCTTTATGATGCTTTCTAAGTTCTTCTGTTCAACTTTTTATTCTGTTTTCCTACAACGCCGAATTCATATATTATTCGTAACATTCCACGGATTGCTTAAATTAACAGTTTGAGTTGATACTTTCATTGAGTGTGGACTTCTACCATGTGTTAAATGTTTTGGGCAAAGAATGTGACATCTGCTTGAAAAGGTAGTGAGCTTTAAATAGAATGTAGGTTATGTTGTAAAGCGTCTGTGAATAATCATAAAGCACTGAAAGTTATAAGGGAATGTGGGGGACATAGTTGATGGGCTTTATTCCTCCCCCCACCCCATGAGTGGTGTGAACATTTCTGGCAAAACAAGGCATGATTGTGACTGTTGTGTGTTTTTACTTTAATTCCTGTCAATGCTATATAGTTTAAAAAAAACAAAATGAGCCACTACAGAGGGCTGGCTTGATTCCGACATTCCGTTGCCAGGTCAGCTCCAAGGAGCTGCAGCTTACTCCGCCACCCTCACCCCCACCCCCATATTCAGCTTGTATGTATGAAAATTGTGGGTTGCTGTTGCCAACTGTTGTGAATAGAAAAAAATGCAGTACTTCTTCAGAAAGCTTGTTGTTGCCAGTTAAATAGATGTTCTGAACTAATTTAAAATTATTTAGTGATCAAATACCCATTTGAAATGACAAAGCCAATAAATTAAATTGTGGTTGAAAGTGGAAGTTAAAAAGTTGTTAGGTTGCTTCAGCTGTAAAAAGCACACAAGTTGTAGGAGAAAGAGAAAACTGAGGGAGATAGGGTGTGGCAGTCTTGAGGTCCTGACGAAGAATGAGTCGAGTAGCAGTTGGTGAGATAAAACTTTATCAATTGCAAGCTATGCGGTTTTAGTTGGTTAGACTCCAGCAGTACCACAACACACATACTGGAGTCCTCCAGGGAGAGTGTGTATCCCTTCAGGGAGAGGGTGCGCATTCCATTCCAACAATCTATCAGGAATTTTCATATGTAGGTGGGATGCATGGAATTCTCAGTTTGGTTGCTCTTGAACATGGTGTTGGGTTTCTGCATGTGTCAGACACTTGGCTGACCCCCAAAAATTGATAACATTGGTGAGGTTTTAGGGAGGAAGTAACTGTGGGTTTCCTTAATTGGTGGTGGAGAGAAACTAGGGACTAGCAATGGCTATCATGTCAGTTAAAATTGAGAATGGAAATGTTGTGTTGCCAAGATATTGTATACATTGGCTTGCAGAGGCTCAATTCAAGGCTTGCAGAACTTAGAACATTAAAACTGATGTGGGAGAGGGAAATGAGGGAACCTAATTAATCGTTCTGTATTTAAATGATAATGAGTTGAACAAACCAAGAAGTTGCTTTATTTCCTGAATTTGCAAAAGCAGTGGTCAAGGGAACACCAGATGATTTCAATATCCTGGCACAGGAAAGGCAAAACAATCCAAGGTTACTGTTCCTGATAACTATCAGTTCAACTTCAATGTCCCTGAACAAATTAAGTTTTTTTTCTTTTGTTACTGGTTACCTTGTCTACAGCTGTTCATTTATTTTCCTTTCATCATCTCAATTTTAGGTCTCAAAGCTAAATACCGTTCTTACATAATAAATATAATAATAATACAAATCCTTGGATTTGGTATAGCGCTTTTCACGTCTTCTAGACGTTTCAAAGCGCTTCACGGAATATGCTGTAAAGTGAATTGACCGTATATTTGTGGGCGAAACCTGGCAGCCAATTGTGCACAGCAGTGTCCCACAAACAGTCGTGGATTGAAAATGACCAATTTATTATTGTTTTGTTTTTTGGAGGAATTATTAGGCGTGTGGCGTAAGGTTTTGCCCTGTCTGGAATTGAACCCAGGTGTCTCATTTGCAAGGCGAGTGCTCTAACCACTGAGCTACAGGACCACACGAAGTGAAGTGATCAGGCTCCTGCCTTACGCATACTAATGCTCCTGTATTCCTGACCCCAAAGTGTTGTGCACAAGTAGAGTGAGGATCACCCACCTTTATCCACAGAGTGTTCCTCAAAGGCACAAGATGAGAAATTTGTATAGAGAAATGTGTTTGTAAGCCTGTGTGTCAAAATTCTGTTCAGCATTGCGCATAGCACTTTGGCAAACCATGATTATAATGGGAATTCCCATTTATTGCCCTATTACCTTTGGCGATGTGAGTAACACTGAACAGATTTTTTACTTGCTAAATTCTACTTATTGCACATCTTTGCTGATGCAACCCTTCACAATAATTCCAGTTCCAGTCTATTGATAGCACACGCATTGCATTTCTGGATTTTGTCGTCTTATTACAATCTCAAACTAAACGTAGACATTCAGCATTGGCATGAAGAAATTCTATTAATTTTATTGGCCCTTTAGATACAGGAAACAAATAAAAATAATAACAGAGAAACCCCATTTCCTCACAATATAAGAAATGTGAATATTGGGTGTCTTTCAATGAAATTGAAATGGAATGATTGTTTGCATTCTTAATTTCTTATTTTGATTCACAGGATCGGAAGTTGTCAAAGTCAGAACGGCAGAGATTTAAAGAAGAAGCTGAAATGCTGAAGGGTCTGCAGCATCCAAATATAGTGAGATTTTATGACTCATGGGAATCAACATTAAAGGGAAAAAAATGTATAGTACTTGTCACAGAATTGATGACATCAGGTACTCTGAAAACGTAAGTAATGTTCATTGTATGTAATTCTTTTGCACAAGTTTTCTTTGCAAATATCTCTTCTCGTATGTTATTGGTCATTCTCTTAATGGCTATCTGTGTGCAAATGGGCTTTGAGTTCACCTTGCAATATAGTCACTGCACTTAAAAATACAGCTTGCGCAGCACTTTGAGACATTTTGATGACATGAGATTTTATATCAAATGTAAGATTAATGTACATGCTGTGTTTTCTATGATTTGCTTGAATGTGAATTTAACTACTGTTCTAAGATTTTTTTGTGCAAGCATATCAGTATTTAATTTATATTTCAATAATTGTTCAAATGCAGTAAAATCATGTTCGTTGAAGGTATATGAAATATGAACAGTTTTGTCTATCGATCATTTTGTTACAACAGTGTATTTTCTTGGCATCATAAATGTAAAATTAACTCCAGTCAAAATAGTTGAAAAGCAGATTTGTTCAACATCATTTTGATACAGTGCAGTTTTGTCATTTAGTCCTATGTAGCAGTTATCTCAGTGTTCAAACATATTTGTGTAAGCCAAAGAAGGTTCTCTAATTTCTGGTACAGATTTTTGGTGATGTCTGTACAATTTTATTTTAAAAATGCACTTTAATATGGTGAAAATGATTAGTTATAGTAGAAAAGAGTAGGAAAAGAAGATTTTATGATTTGGGGCGATAAGTTATGAAAAAAATGTCACAAGCTGATCCAAATTCATGTAGCATGTTGGTGAGTCATGGCCAAATAATGTGCCATCAAACTGTACTGAGTGGCATTTTTTTCAATTTTTGCCTTTGTGACTGAGTCGTGTAACAAGCAGCCCACCTTGTTGGATCAGGAATAAACAGGCCTCGATAAATGCAATTGAAATGGTGTTGAAAACTTTGTCAAGAGTATTAAACTTAAAATTTTGTTCCCAAATATAAAATATGCCATTAATTTATAGCAAAGTTTAGGGGGAGTGCTTTATGTTCACTAAGATAGATAACTGAACAGAAAACGGGTCCTCCATCTTTATCTTCCTCCAACACCTCCCCTTCATTTTCCTTCCCACCTAATTTTCCTTCCCATTTAATATTTCCAGTGCAAATCAATAATACCATGATTGTGGTATTGAATTGTTAGTCAGCAGGGAGGGACACATTCCATTTGGTGAGCAATGTGCATTGGCTATGACAGCATTGTTTTAGTAACCCAATGAAACACATGACTTCATTGATTCAGCATGCATTCAGGTCTAACTAATGCATTCCAGCCGCTTGTCACAGTTAAGAGAGCCCTCTTGTGGAATTTATTTCTATTGCACAAACCAGTCTGATTCATGTTAAGATACAATACAAAGGAGGATGTCCCAAGGCGCTGAACAGTCAGGGATTAGACCCCAGCGGGAGGATAGGGTAGCTGCAGGCACTGTCAAAGGGAGGGAATGAGGCAAAAGGAATGTGGCTTGGAGTTGCAGAAGATGGGGGCAGAGAAGGCTTGACTGTTGATAGTGGGGTGGGCTGGGCGGGGGACATGGAGCAGGCTGGAGCCTGCTGAATAGAGGGAGCGGACAGGTTGATAAGGGGTTAGCAGGTCGGAGAGGTAGCAGGAAGTATAATTTCAAGATTTATTTGGCTGCTTCTTCATCTATAATATTGAGTGAAGTGTGTATTGAAATGGGGGGTGGGGGAATGAGAATTTCATGGCAAATGCCGTTCTCTCTCCAGGTGGATATTGAAACCATTCTTTGGAAGAATATCAAATACTTGTTCCGGTTTTCCTATGTTATATATATATATATATATATATAAAATATATAAGCTGAGACTAACTGTGCCCAATGAAAAAAAATTACCTTTGATTTTCGTAACGTAAGCGAGAGTATTTCAATTGCAAAGTTAATCAACTTTCTTCTCACTTCTTTTGCTGGTTGAATAACTTCTATCGGATCTTGTACATGTTCCTTCTTTAAATATATGTAGTAATCATAATAAGAATCCTTGCATTTGATATACAACAACAACAACAAGATTCCATTTATAGAGCGCCTTTCACATCAGGAGGACGTCCCAAGGCGCTGAAATAATAATGCCTTATGTTGTTAAAACATTTTAAGGTAGAATTTACCTTAAGTAGTAATTACCTCAAGTAATTTATAGGCAAACATGGTAGCCAATTTGTGCACAACAGTGTCCCACAAACAGCCAAGGAGTAAATGACAATTTTATCTGGAGGATTGTTGGCCAGAACACCAAGAGAAACTCCCTTTCCTCAAATATTGTCTTGAATCTTTAATGTCCACCTCAACCGGCAGCTTCAACTGATAAGAATTTTTCAGAAATGTATGGCACCAGAAATTTCTTTTTAGTCAACCTGCAAAACCATTTTGCCGTAAAATTTTAAATCAAACAAATTTGTAGAAAATTCTTAAATTCATTGTTAATTTGGAAGCCATATTTTCATAATTAATTAAAAAAAGGGACTGACTTTCTAATTAAGTCTAAATTTAAATATTTCCCCAGTGCTTAAGTTAAAACGAAATGGTTTTGTCAGGCTAAACCCAGTAACATTTTGTGCCTTGTCTTGGTTCAATTTGACCACGTTAATTCTGGTCTTTGATAGTACTACCAAAGATATCAGAGATATTGCTTTTCATTGATGAGGCGTGTTTTGAGGGGGCATCATTGCTGGGGCTACGACTTTATCATGATGAGCAATATTGTTGCACATATGGCACAATGATGATCGCACTTACCTACTTATGCAGTCCCCAGAGAATCCGATCATTCTCACACTTGTCGTTGAATTGATGTGCATCATAAAACTGCTTTAGTGATGCATTCCTTTTAGTTGGAACAGAATATATGGGGTGTGAAATGGATTTCCTTTACTATCAAAGGAGTGGATTCCTGTAGTTCAGTGGTTAGAGCATTCGCCTCATAAGCGAGAGACCTGGGTTTGCACGGCGAAATGTTGGGCAAGTTTCCTTACTCCACACACCTCTGTTTACCTAGCAGTAGGTTGGAACCCGGTTGTTAGTTGATTGGCTGATTGCATTTCTGGGGTAATAATTCCTTCAAGACAATAATAATAAATTGGTCACTTCAATCCACGACTGTTTGTGGGACACCGCTATGTGCAATTGGCTGCCGTGTTTCAGCCACAAAATGTAGTCAATTCACTTTAAAATATATTCTGTGAAGTGTTTGAGACATCTCAAAGAAACAATAAGGCACTATATCAAATGCAAGGATTATTATGAACCTGATTGGCCAGATTGATTTTCTGCAGATGACATATCAGTTGAAAGAAGTGGCCTTCTGTGGATAATTAGTTGAATATCATATGGTTGATCTGTTAATCACTGACCAGATTTCAGGCATGCAAAAATAGGACACAGCCATTTGAAAGAAGGATTTGTGCTGAGTGCGAGCCTCGGCCAACTGTGCATTTCCAAATAAATTGGTTCACTGGGCAGGCAGGATGTTGAAAGTTCTTAACTGAATTCAATTTATAAAAGTTGTTCCCTGCTTATATAAAAAATAAACTGCATTGTTTTTTTAAAAAAAAATCTAGTGGTCAGATTGGTTTTGTCTGGGATGCAAAGTAGGATTAACATATACCAGAGCAGAGTTGTCACTGAGCCACCTGGCCAAGTCTGCTCCTGAGTATTGTGTTCTGGGAGTCCAGCCATTTTAGTAGTCTCAATATTTACAATTTTCATTTCAGATACTTGAAAAGGTTTAAGGTGATGAAGATAAAGGTCCTTCGAAGTTGGTGTCGTCAAATTCTGAAGGGTCTTCACTTTCTTCACACTCGTACACCGCCCATCATCCATCGTGATTTGAAATGTGACAATATTTTCATAACTGGTCCAACAGGATCTGTCAAGGTTGGAGATCTTGGCCTCGCTACATTAAAAAGGGCTTCGTTTGCCAAGAGTGTAATCGGTGAGTTGACGATTGGGACATTGGGACAGTTAAATTGTGTTTATACATGAAATGTGTGGTCTTCCTTCTTTGAATTTCTGCTGTTCAAAGAATCATCTTCATACAAAGATAATAAATTTACTGAGTTGGGCTATTGTTTTTGAATTTAAAAATGAGGAAAATTCAAATCCTTTTGCAGTTATTTCAGCTGCCTAATGCGCTCCTTCATTGAATCTCAAAAGATACTTCAAAACTTGTGGCCTTCTTTGTTGTACTGCATCATTCACTTCCTCACTTGTGCTGTAGAAGATGCCATTTTCGTTCAGTCCAACATTTTAAAGGTCACATGTTTTATCTTGCTTGGTTGCCCTGCTGAGCGTTCTTCACTCAATTTTCTGCATTCTAAGTATTTTTAACTGTAGGACATCCACTTTTCGCAGCTGCAGTAGACCTAAAAGTACTGCAGTTGAATGGTAAGTGTGTAGATAAAGGCTATGGTAAGTTGCCTTTCTCGTAAACAATTTTGAAGCTGTAAATTAATTAAGATCTTCACTATTTTTGATTCTTTGGTAGTTTTTTTTTGCAAGGTAACTCAGATATTGACAAAAGGTGCATGAAGCATAGTAGGTCATAGATTAACTGCGGTTCAACAAAGATTTTATTAAAAGAGAGAAATTTTGGGTCTTCCTTTAGTCTAGACAAATAACGTAATGTATATATGCAAATGAGAAGAAAACTTTTGCTTGTTGGATTGTGTAAAATGCATTATTCCTATTATTCACAGTATGGGCGAGCTGGCTATGCAGGACATTTTAATAGTCACAATTTTCCAAAATTAATTTTTGGAGTTCTCATACAAATTTATATGTATGCAACTTGTCGCGCATGGCCCTTACTTTCTCAATCTTGAAGTAGAAAAGTTAAGGACTGTGTCAGATTGAACCTTTTTTGTATGGTGCATGATTTTGCTTCCAACGCAAAGCAAATATTTTTTTCTTTGCATTTACAATTGGCATTTGATATTTCTTCAAAAGATGGTAAACTAATTTGTGCTATGATGGATGCAATTTTACCCATTCTGAAACCGAAGGGATAACTAGACCCACTCATTGCTGTACACCATTATGGATGCCTTGCAAAAGAAAACTCATGAGTTGGTAAGTTGCTGAATAACTGAGAAGGGCTCTCCTTCGCCTCCGCTTTCTCTTCCCCCACAGGTCGCCGTCCGTCGGTGAGTACCGACAGCCTCCACTCACTGAGACAGTCTGTTAGAGTCTGAAACGTTCTTTTAATTTAAGGTACCCCTGAATTCATGGCTCCTGAGATGTACGAAGAGAAATATGACGAATCTGTTGATGTTTACGCATTTGGGATGTGTATGCTGGAGATGGCAACATCAGAATATCCATACTCGGAATGCCAGAATGCTGCTCAGATATATCGTAGAGTAACCAGTGTAAGTACACATGTTAGGTTTGTGGTATATTGAAAGCCTGCCACACCAGGACTTTAATGATTACATTTTTCTTCACACTTTTTCCAACTTCCAGTCATTTTGGCAAGGTTTGAGTGTGAAATTGGCAACAGCTGTTGTGTAGAAGTATGAAATCATGGTGAGTCTAATGACAGGCTAATATTCAGCAACTGCAGAACATACAGCTGGCTATTTTCGACCTGAGAGCCACTGAAGCATGAAACTTGCTGCTTATGTCTGCAGTTTTCTGCTCCTTGATTCTCCCACCAGAATAATGAGCCACAATTCAAATGCATTCACCATTAATAGTTTATCAAGCATTTAGCTTTTGATCTGACTATTTTAGTGGAGGTCCAGACTAGAGGCTATTCTTGCACTTGAGCATGGTGATGGGTTTCTGCTTGTGTCACACATTGGCTGACCAAAAAAAATTATTGTACAGAGAGAGAGGAAGAAAAAACAAAGAAGCAAATGGATAATTCACTGCAGGCTTATCTTGGATAGCATCTTATGGAATAATTCATCTGGCCAGCCTCAACTGGAGAATAGCATATTTGGGGAAGGGGGAAATCGACAAAATTGATAGTAAAGAAGATTATTCACACAATCCTTGAAGGAGATTTTTGTCAAATCAAATTTCAGAGAAAGGGCATGAGGGATTTGTATGTGCAGAATTTCTATGTGAGGTAATTATTTGGATTTTGGTTGTGCTGATGTGGTCTGCTTCTCATTGTTATTGTACAGAAATAGAATCTTGGAATTGCATGTCGTTTTCAGTTTTAAGAATCATTACTGAAAATTGGACAGGAATTTTTTTGAATAGCTCTTTCACAGCTCAATTTTTTTTTATCAGGTTTCCTACATTTATTTTAAAGAATCCAAATTCCTTAACATATTACAGCCTTATTCTTCAGAAGTATTGTTTGTTGAACACCTGGTAACTTGTATGTGAGCCTCAAAAACACACCAGCAAATTGACTTGATTATATCTCAGAAGACTGACTTTAGATGGGTTCGAAACCTGCTCCTTTTAATTGCTTACAGCCAGAGACCACATTTTAGAGACTAGTCACATCTTCAAGATGGTTGTTTTTTGAGATGAGGGGAAATTGATTTTATACAATGAAAGATCTAAAATATCGGTAAGAAATAATGTAAAATAGGCATGGACTGAAGGAAAATAAGACAAGCAGAACAGTTCCATCCACCAGAACAGAATTAATATTTTGTTCAATATTTTTAAGCAGCTCATACCACGATACATCTAAATAAACTATCCAGACATTTCGGTGGCATCATTAGTGCAATAAGCAATTATTCAGTATCACAGTATGTTGGTTGAAATCTTAAAATAACTGCTAGCTCAAGGGTACAGAATTCCCTGGAGCAGCTGGTACTGTAAAGGTTCTGCGCCGTGAAAGCAATATTTGAGAAATGACAAATGCTACATTTAGGTTATTGACCACAAGAGAGATGGTTCTCAAGTAGCCTGAGGCTTCAGGTATCTGAAAATTTGTCCCGTTTAACGGTGGAGCTGAAATGCAGGCGCCTGGGGAAACACATTTTTGTTTTCAGTACTTTTCAAAACATTCTGCAACATAAGCTGCAGCTGTTATAGATTACATTGTTTCAGGATTGAGGATCAGAATTGAATTTCTCTTAGACTTCAATTATGGTTTGCTTTTTGTGTCAAATCAATGTGAAGATTGAATTGATGATAATAAAGGTACAGTATCAATGGCCTACAAATGTCGAACAGATTCTCAATTATCCTATAGTTTTCTGTCATATTGCCATTGAAAAACAATATCTTCAGACATGTCTGAATTGTTTTATCTTCTTGAAATACAAATTTGGGTTTCTTTGGTGTACTGTGGGTCGTTTCTCATCTGGATTTCTTCCTTCATTGCTATAAAAATATTCCTAATGCAACTTACATAGTTACAATACCACACTTAATCATTATACCATCTTCCGAATGCCCAAATCTTTTAATAAGCAAAAGAAAAATGGCAAGCTGTTATATTTTCTAATAATTCTTTTCTCCCCTCCTCCACCTTTTAAACTTCTCATTGCAACCACAGTCTAAAGATAGCGCATTCCTGACACAGATATCAACACTAATATGCTTGCCAGAAGATGCTGCAGTCTCTGTAGACGAGGATTAGGCATTTACCAGTTTATTTCTGAAGAATGAATCATTCCCTCTCCCCCTCTGTCTCATAGCCATTGAATTGTAAGTTACCGTACAAAGTCTTTCTTTCCAAATTGCCATTCAGACACCAATAATAGATAGATGTAGGGAATGAAGGACTTAGAATTTTTCTCTTCGAGTTTCCTCACTTAGTTGAACAGATTTTTTAAAGTTTTGTATCCCCCTTCATTTGGTGCAAAATATTTCAGTACAACTTCTGTTATTCAAAAAGATTTGAGTTCAGTTCAGTTGGCATGAGAAGTGGCAAATATTCTCCATTGCTTTGTGCCCTTGTTTTACTGTACTCAGTAAGGAAGCATTCAATTTAGTTGCATTTCTTCTATCACTTTGTTAAAATAATTGTCATATTTGTCTCATGATTAAATATCCATACTTTATCCCTGCCAAATTTTCCATTTGGGACTTGGGGTCTTTCTTATCGGGTGAGGTTGGAGAGCAGCAATACAAATTTTAATTCCACCACTTCCCAGTCACACTTAAAACTGTAATGGAATTCTCTTACCACTAGAGGACAGAGTGAATGATCTCTACTGCTAATTCTGTAATTTTGTTCTTGGCAAGGAAGGCAATATGAAGCAGCACATTTTGTTTTAAATCCCTATTTTCCTTCATTTTTGTTGAATTTCCCCAAATATGAGAGACCAATTGCTCCCGGGTGTTAACAATTGTTACTGGGTGCTGTGACTGTGGGTGAGAAAAGAGTCAGCATTCTTCCCTGCTGCAACTAAATTAGTTGCATTTTAGGAGGTTATATTTGTCACATGCTAACTGCAGCATTAATTTTATTTTCATCAGGTATGCTTAAAAAAAGACTTACCCTCACCCAAAGAAAATGCTTTTTTCTTGTTAATTGCCTTTTTGAAAAGTTCTTGAAATATACTACACTGCTGATTCCCCCCAGTCTCTGTTGTTGAATCAATGAAAAGGTGATGAGTGAAACTTCAAATGTTTCCAGTAGTCCCATTCCCCAAAATAAGTTGGGAAGAAATTGGGAAAAGTTCCCTGCTGCACATAATTAATTAAAAGTGCTGCTTAATTTTTTTTAAAAGTGGTATCAAACTATTTTACTCATTCTGTATCTGAAAGAAACAAGTTTTTCAGCCCTCTTAAGTCAGATACTTGTACCACCTCGAAACGTACCTGAACATTGTAAACTCACTTTTTTGTAAAATTGTTGTTTGTCATTTTTCCTCCTCGGCTTCAAATCCAGTAGTCCATTGTTGTCCTCTGTAGTTCCACCTTAGTCAGAGCTGTTCTCCGTGATTTACAATTGACTACTTTCACTGCAGTTGAATATATGCCTTTTTGCCTTTTTAACTGGTAGAGCCCTGTTTCTACTCTGTTGCCTCCCACTAAATCTTTTGGCTATCGGTTTGAATACAAAGAACATAAAATACAGACTTCAGTTGAATTATTTTGAGCCTGGGGACTGGAGTCAGTGGGGGGTGAGGGGGGGAGGAAATGTTCAGGGGTCATTGCTGAAATTGTATCGACGAAGCATGCAAAGATTTTAATCAGGTATTTTACATGTTATGAAACATTGAACAGCACAAGCTGCGAAATAGCCTATTGACAAATCTTGCGAAGTTGGAATGGTGCAATGTGGACTCAAATCAAATTAACTATTTTCTGTGGTTGTTTGCAGCACCCCTAACCACTTTAAGAATTGTATTAAAATTTATGAAAATATTCCCTGATACGTTTTCTCACTAGTTGCTGAAAAGAAAATTTTTGTAGAGTGTGTCTTATATTTCCTGTGTCACCTGAGTGGTGATTCCCCCCTCCCACACCCAGTTTCTTGCTTGCTAGGAGTTAATCTGAGGATTATGGGCAGGGATTAAGCTTTTTCTAATCTTTTAAAAAGTGTTTTGCACAGTCTTGGACTATCAAGTGATGTTTGCTTCAGAACAATGTAGGAGCTTATTCTCTCCGAGCTAGGGTTGTCATACAATAAAAGTTCCTTTCGGTATCTCTCGACACTGTATCATGTTCAAATTAAACATAAAAATTATTACATTGAGGATTTTAATTGAAAAAGCAACAGTTTGCTTTGTTTTGCTCTGCTCTATCCACTTATTGTTGGCTGATGTTGGCATGGAAACTGTTAACAACCGAAAATGTAGTTAAATTGCGTATCATAGAAATATTCCACTTGCCTCATTAAATGCAGTAATTTAAGCAGCACAATGTGAACATTTTCAGTACAGCTTTTTGGAATAATTGATGGAAGAGACAATAATCATTTCACTAATTCGTTATTTCTGCCATACAATTTTAGCTCTATCCTAATCCCACTAAAGATGTATACTGTTTACATTAGTTTCTTTGAAAAATCCTCAGTTAGGATCTGCATGTTTTCCTGTAACTCCACTTGAGAGGTGGTTTGCCAGAATCAGTCACCTTCATTCTGTAGGCAACTTTCATTGTTTAGTTCTTCAGTTTTTAAAAGACTGATGAATATGTTCCCTGAGAATGATTCAGGTTGACTTGGTTCAATCTGCAATCTGAAGGAAGTGAAAATTGGAGTTTGAATGGAAGAGAATCTGTGTTTTATCACTGAGCTTTCGTGAAGTTGTCTTTACATTTCTGGATTCTTAGTAAGTCCCTAAAATGAATAGGCATTAAGCCACATTAGTTCATTCAGGAATAATGGTTGCTGACAATATTGGAGAATTACTTCCCATTACAAATGAAGTTGTGCAGTAGATGTCATGTTGAACTAGCCTCAGCCTGAGTTTACTGTTCAGTATTCTGTGTGATAGTGCCA